AAGGGAGGGCGTTGGCACTTCTATTCGGAACAGGGCTTACTATGGCATTAAAAATTGTATTTCCCATTTGAGCTGTCATAAGTATAATATAACACACAATTTGTATATATAGTATAGGGTGTGGGTGTGGGTGTGAATCTGGATCTTGGTAAATATAAGACTCACATCAATCACACACCTACGCCCACACCCACACCCATACACCCACACCCGATGTCCAGCGATTTTCGCCCAGTGTCCACAAATGAGCAACATAGCTCGTTCATTGACGATTCGAGCAGTAGTTAATAGATAAAGATTGAAACAACAAATACATGTCTTGCTATCTAAGTATGCTTGGAGCTTGAAGAGTGAATTCGAGTAGGGCACTGACGGTAAAGTAGCGTCAGATGTTTGAGAGTCTGGCAACGATTGCTCTGCTTCCATCATTTTTCACATCGTATGCAAATTCGTACTGAAGATATCAGCAACTATTCCAAATATATCAACACACCTTTGCTTATATAGTTTTGTTATTCTCGTTTCACCTTCACACTTCTATTTCTGAGCATACGAAAGGATAATACGAAATATTGACACAAGAGTTTATTCTTTCGTAATGCAAAAAATATATCTCTCTAAGATGACGATTTCATTGTTGCATGGCTCTATTATTTCCATAGAAATATGCACCAATAGACACTTGAGGGTGGGTTTGAGTGTGGGTGTGAGTGAGGGTGTGGGTTTGGATGTAAGTTTGGGTTTGGGTGTGGGTGTGGGTGTGGGTGTGGGTGTGAGTGTAGGCGTGAGCGGGTGTGCGGTGTGGGTGTTTGATTGATGTGAGTCTTCTATCTACCAAGATCCAGATCCACGCCCACACCCACCCTCAAGTGTCTATTGGGGTGTAGGGTGTGGGCCTGGGTCTGGGTCTGGGTGTAGATGTGGGTATGAATGTGGGTGTGGGTGTTTGATTGATGTGAGTCTTCTGTTTACCAAGACCCAGATCCGCATCCACACTCACACGCACATTCCACATCCACACCCACACGCACATTCCACACCCACCCCACGGCCACACCCAAACCCATGCCCACACCCACACCCCACACCCACACACTACCCACACCCACACCCCACACCCACACCCACACCCACACCCACACCCACCCACACCCACACCCACACCCACCCACACCCACACTCATACCCACACCACACACCCACACCCATACCCACACCCCACACCCACACCCACACCCACACCCTTCCATCCTTGCTCAATCAGACACAGTTTTGTGATCATAGAAAGAATAGGATATCGGAAAAGTTATTCATCAAAAATGAGGAATTTATATTTCTATGGTGGTTCTATTGGATGAACTAGTTTGTTTTTGTAACAATATTAGGGAATCGTTCGAATTTTTTTATTCAATAGTCATGAATTTTTGTATCTCGCAAAAGTAGCGTTTTGTGTATCGAACTAGAAAGTGTAACTTATAAAAATACTTCAGCTATCCATAGTATGGGATAAAACTTTTGAACAATTTTCTACCTGTGTGTGTGTGTTTTTGTCTTCTTTTTATTGAGTTACACTCATAGCCTGTTTTCTATCGATCATTGAACGAGTCAGGAATCTGTTAGAACTCTCACATTAGTGTTTTCTTTTGAGCTATGCCACAATTTCAGTCATTAGCATTCTTTAAATGTGTTGCAATGAATCCTAGAAGCGATAAAATGAGAAATACGCGGATGTTTTTACAAGTTTGATGAAAATTTTTTGCTGTCGAAGAATTCAGTTTGCAAAGGACCATGTCATTTCACTGGTTAGTACGATATTTGTTCAATAATAGCACGCAGTTGTTGCATTAAAATTGACGATTGAGCGTTTGCTGGTAACTTAACAATACATTCCTCCTGTCTGCTCATCTGTCTCGAAGTGTTTTCCAAATCTTCTATAAACTGTCGAATATGTACGCCATTGATGGGTAAATTACATAATTCGTTCAATGACTTTATAATATAATTCATTTGTAATACTATATCTGTGGGGCAAGCATCGAATACGGTTGTATGTTGATTAACATTGGTGTTTGGCAGATTTTGCAAATCATCATGTTTGGCAATCAGAATATTCCAAAGTCTGATCTTTTCTGCATCGAAACGACCCGAGTCGTATTTTATTTCTTCGAAAAGAATATGGCAAATATGTTCAATTGTTGCATTCTGTAATGGAACAATAGAATTCTTTTGAAGAAATTCCAGATATGCTGGACTTGTTTTCTGTTTAATAAATTCTTCGTAAAAAATTGAACAAATAGACTCTTTTATGCCACTATTGAATGAAGAATCTGAAATCTCTCTTACATATTTTAAGAAATCAAGATTGGATGCCTGCTTATTGAGTTGCGTATTAAAGGATGTCCTAATAAATGTTCCTAAGTAATCGCTGATTCGACGGCTCGAATTCTTCTCGAGAAATTTCGAAATTTTATCATCAATATCTAATTTCAATAATTTTTCGCAAAACATTGCATTGATTTGCTTCATAACTTGATCCGTGAATGGCATGATTGAATGCTCTTTCAGGCATTGAAAGTATTTGCCGTTCTGGATTTCTTCCTTCAGATCATCATAGAAATACCGTTCAAAAAATTTATCGAAAATATGATTGAATGGAAGAATCGAATTCAATTTTATGAATTGCAAGAGTGGTTTACAAATGCGATATATGAGTGCTTTTTCATCATTCCAAGAAGCATTGCTATCATTGATTGTCGGTAAAGATGACTGGGATGAAGTTCTGTCATTCATGAGTACGATGAGTTTGTATGTAAGTTGTAGCACTATATTTAGCAAGAAAGTGTTGCGTGTCCTTTGAGGCTTACAAGAGAGAATAGACGAAACGAGATTACAGAATTCGGTTGATGATTTATTCCAGCTTTCTCTGTAAATCAGCAAGTGAGCTTTCTCGACTTCAATATGATGTTTATTCAATGCTAACGCGTGGAGAGCTTCATTATCGAAAATAAAACCATTGCCTCGACTAAATTGCATATTGACATTGATTATATTAGCCAATAAATTTCTGAGCATACGAGTTGTGGATCCTGGTTGGTAACCTGTGGTCCGAGCACTAGTTAATACCCATTTGATGTTTTGATATGCATGAATATGTAAATGAGTGAGGCACTCGTTGATTCTAAATGAGGAGCGATCAGTGTTCCCTTGTTCATCTACTCCCACCAGAATACAGATACCGTTTAAATGTTTATATTTGCTAATGTACGTAAAAATGCATTGCATATTTTTAATGATTTGAAAGGGGTCATGTCCATTATCAATAGAAGGTGTATCAATAAAACGCAATAAACGATTTCCAATAGTAAAGTTATAACTTTCACAGCTTTCAGTCAGTATGTCACCATATTTATTGCAACGCTGATTTTTATCTGGAGTACCGACTCCGAACGAGATAGTGTCATATGTTGAAGAGTCTGTGTGTGACTTTGTAAAAGGTATGGGCACTTGCATGTCTCCTCGGAGCGCTTCATCGAGTGTATCATGAACAAGATAATTGGCGAACGCATTGATAAACGTTGTTTTGCCAATACCGGCTCTGCCCAGCAGCAAAATATTAATATCTGTTGAAGACGTACTGGAATAATTTGAGTCAGATATCATTTTTTTTAGCCATGTCAGTGGATCATGCCCTTCAAAATGATAACAAACTCATCTCTAAATATTCAGTCATCCAAACGAAGAGAAAAACGGGCGTGGACGTATAAAATGCCATTATACACATCCACACCCTCAAAATCGCTTGAAGAGCTTACCGACTTAACGAAAAGATGATATTTTTTTTGTTTGACAGCGCGAGAACATGTTGAAAACAGTTAACAGCAACGGATCTTAACACATGGACAGAGACTAATGCATGAAATTGAGTCACTTAAGGCCCCCCCCCCACTCAAAAATCGATCTCAGCCCAGGTACGTTCAAATGGGCTGAAATTTGGAGCATATGTTGGGGCTGAAGTGAGGAGGCTGTGGTAAAATTTTCAGCTCGATATCCTGATGTTTGACAGAGATATGAACCAAACAAGGGTCAAAAATAGCTCATTTTCTGGCAAGGATTTCTCGGTCCAGACTCGATTAACATATTTAAAATTTTTTTGTTGTTTGAAAGAGCATCTCAGGATGCAGGGCACCACAGAGTCCTTTTTTTTTAAGTCTTACTTTTTTCGCGGAGAAAGGGGCTCGCAAGTTCAATGACTCAAAAAAGGCGCCAAAAATGGGTGTCCAGTCACATAAATGTCTGTATATATAATAAAAAACAAAGCTTAATTAAAAAAAGGGCTCTGTAGTGCCCTGCATCTCGACGCGCTCTTTCAAACAAAAAAAAAATTTAAATATATTGACAGAGCCTGGACCGAGAATTCCTTACCAGAAGATCAAAAAATCATAAATCGAGAAAAAACGAAAAACATTTTTTGATTTTTCAAAAAACAGCTGGTTTTTCGAATAGGGGTTGACGGAAATCTTGAAAATTTTTGGGGAAAAATGAAGTAACGAGAAAAACAAATTATCGTTTTTGAAAGAGCAGATGACGGGCTATCTTCCCATGCATTTATCTCAATTTCGAAATTTTTGACGAAAATTGACTTTTTTTGAATGGAGGGGGGGGGGGGGGCTTAAGAAAATGCCAACGCCTTTTCATGATGAACAGATCAAAGCAGATGAATCGTGCAATCTCTATAGTATGAAGCTGCAGGTCACATTTCATCGATAGCATCCTGATTAATAGACCATTTAATTGACTAAGATTTGTTCCCGACCATTTTTATATCATTAAAATGATTCGAGAGAAGTATTCTATGCTTTTAGAGCTCATATTAAAAGAAAAGGATTCTTCTAGGATTTTATATTATCATATGAAGTTTTGACTGTTTTATAAGTTAACGGTGTCAAAGTTTTCGCTCGGTTAGGAACATGTCTTGTGAAGTGTCGAAGCTAATGAAGTTTTCAAGAATATATGCTTTTACCTTCAAGACTTTCTGCCGCCAAGTAGACCTTTTCTGTAAGACAACTTGCACGCCAGGGTAAAGGAAATCCTTTTAATTTAATATCCCGGGCAACATTTTGTAATATTGTTTCAACATCTTGGTCAGGCATTGTTATATGATTTAACAAGTGTTCAGTAAATATGCCGTTTCGCTCATTTTGTGTTTCATCTACTGTACCCTGATCAAAACCACAAGAAAATATGATTAAAGACTCTGGTGGTCCTTTTATTGCTGCCAAACCTTTATGACTTTTGATCGAACGCATTTTTACATAGAATCTACAGCAATCTAATATAAATATTGTAACTTGAGGCCTCTTGGCTGTTATTTTATGAAGTACGTATTGAGCGCAGATGGAGTTTTCTTTAATGTATTTTCGTTCACTTGTACTATGATCATAGTTGTAACCAGCTGGTAGTAAATAATTTTTATCTTCAAATTGATTTCCATGACCAGCAAAGTAAAACAGGATTAAATCGTTTGATTGAATCCTTTCGGCAAATTTCTCAATCAGGTGGTTAAATTCATCTTTTTTGCAGTCAGTCCCTGTGGTGATATCAAATTTTATACTTTTCAATTTATTTCCCATATCTGTTGCATCGTTGATGCAATAATTTAACTTCGAATCATCAGGATAATCATTAATACCAATAACTAAAGCTAATTTTCGCTCTGAAGTGCCAGACAATGCCATTCTTGAAAGATAAATCTAGTTGTACTTATTAGTCGGTTTGAATTGTTGTGTACAGTTGCTTCTTTTTCGTTAAGAGTAAACGTAGAAATGGCAACAAGTAAATCAGTTGCAACTTTTATGTTTTATTTACATAATTCTTCTGCTCCAACGTGACGCGTAGTTAAGTTACTCTTTTTTTCTTTTTCTTTTATAATTCTGCCGTAATTCAGCATATTCTTGGCTGAAATGTTTTGTAAAAAATCGAATGAGTCAATCCATGTGATTCGAACTGGAAAAAAACCGGCGGTATACCGCCGGTAGATCGTTCGGTATAATGTGCGGTCTACCGGCGGTTAACCGGAGGTTTTGTCGGTAGTTGCAAAAAAACCGGCAGTATACCGTCCGTGAAACTATGGGTGTGGGTGTGGGGTGTGGG